TGTTCCTTTTTTATTTTTGCCGAACTGGGGATTGAACTCAGGCCCTTGTGCTTGCCAGGCAAGCACTTATTCTACTGAGATATCTCCCTGATTTTATTTTATTTTTGTTCCTTATTTTACAGTGAAGGTTTTCAATTTAATATGATGTTGGCTGTTGGTTTCTCATAGATGGCTTTTTCAGTTTGAGATATAGACCATCTATTCTGATTTCCTGTAGCATTTTTAATCATGAATGTCAGACTTTGTCAAATACTTTTTCTTTATCTATTGAGATGGGTATGTGATTTTTATCCTTAGCTCTGTTGATGTTGTGCAGTACATTTTTCTGTATATTGTACCATCCTTGCACTTCTGAGATGAGTCCTACTTGGTCATAGTGTATAATCTTGATGATTTGCTGCATTGTTTGGTATTATTTTATTGAGGACATTTGCATCTATGTCCATTAGGGGGATTGGCTTGTAGGGGTTTTTTTTTTTTGTTTTTTTGTTTGTTTGTTTGTTTGTTTGTTTGTTTGTTTTTTCTGGTTTTAGTATCAGGATAATACGTACCTCTGGGAATGAGTTTCCAATTCTTTCCCTTTCAATTTCATTGAAGAGTTTGAGAAAAGCTGGCATTAAATCTGCTCTAAATTTCTTGTACAATTCAACTATGTAGAATCCATCAGGATCTGGGCTTTTCTTTATTGGAAGATTTGTAATTCCATTTTCAATTTCATTGGCTGATATTGAGTCACTCATAATATTTTATTTATTTATTTATTTATTTAGTTAGTTAGTTAGTTAGTTAGTTTTGGTGGTACCAGGGATTGAACTCAGGACCTTGTGCTTACTAGGCAAGCACTTATTCTACTGAGTTATCTCCTAAGCCCCAGGTTTGTTTGTTTGTTTGTTTGTTTGTTTGTTTTCAGTACTGGGGATTGAACTCAGAACCTTGCATGTACCGAGCAGGCACTTATTCTACTGAGCTATCTCCCCAGCCCATTCATAATTTTTATATCATGCGTGAATTTGAATTTTTCCTTCAGACAAAGTTGAAAGCACAGGATTAGATGAGAGCAAGGCTGACTGGCTTGGTGAGAGGGCAGTGCCCTCCCAGGCTGTCAGTCTGTACCTAGCAGAAAAGATGAGAGGCAGGAGTCCCAGTTTCCCTGGTGATGGTAATTTTTTGACAGAGGGACCTTTTGAAGGCAGAGGGTTCTGTTCCATTGTCTACCAGGAAAGCCACAGGTTTGCCCCTGACTTTAGCAATGACCATGAACTCTCAGGACTGGTTTGACAGAGCTCAGTCTGTACTACCTAATCAAGCCCCAGAGGATGCAACTCACTTGGGAACTAATTAGTTAAAACCCACAGAGGTTAAGCATTCCAACCCCCTTTCTTTGAGGGTAACCTTACCTAACAAGAGTTGATTAAGCTCTTCTTTTGCTTGAACTGAGTATGACTGACAGACTGAATAAGGTGCTGCTGGGAGTCTTACCAGAATCAGGCAGGCAGGTAGGAAGGCAGGCAGGCAGGCAGGCAGACAGACATATTGTGTCCTCTTCCCTTTGGGGTCCAAAGTGAGCTGTTCAAGTGGGGAGCCAGTAATCCTCCTCCAGACTTGTGTGGAGACTTCAGAAATCTCAAGGGTGCACCTACCTTCCTATCAGGAGCTGAAGAAAGGTCCTTGATCCATCCTTGAAGGCCATGACTGGTAATCAAAGAGGTTGGCCAAGTCAATCTTCCTGGACAACACACCCAATGCAATGCAAGCAGAAGACACACAGGATTTGGAGGCAGATTTATTTAGGTTGACAGGCACTGATTGGAATCAATATCAGGCCCCAATCTCTGGTGGTCTAGGGCATGTATTGGATAAGCAAACAGGAAGCACAGTGGCAGAATGGCTTATCAGTTGGGGATGGATTTATTCAATGTGTGTCACAATGACAACAATGCATCACAGTGACCAGCCGTTTATAAGAGACATGAGTAGCTAGATCTGGAATAGAAACTAATACCTGCAACTAACTGAAGGATATAGACTCGGGGGGGGGGGCATTTTCTGCCTCACCTATAAAGTTCATGCTTGCCTCAAACTCATTGTGTAGTGCAGGCTGGCCTTGAACTTGCACCAATACTCCTGCCTCAGCTTCCCAAGTGCTGGGATCACAGGTGTGCACCACCACACCCAGCTGATTTTTTAATTCATTAATCTTTAATAAACAATGGAAAGTTGTAGGCATTATAATATGCCAAACTTAAATATTTCTTCGTGCATCAAGTATAAGGTATTTTCTGCTTAACCACAATATCATTATCATACCTAAGAAAATTAACAAGTACTCTATATTGGTGTATTGTTATATAATGTTATGTATGTTGAAAAATTCTCAATTGTCCCCTGTATGTCTTTTGTGCATCTGTTTTCTGATTTTTAAATATTGAGGATATCATAAAGATTCTATGCTTGATCTTAGCCAAAAGGCAGGGAAACAATTATAATAAAGATTTAACCATTGCATTTGCTCTTGTATTTTATTTTTCATGTATTTGGTAGTCTCACTGCACAGCTTGGACTCATAGTGATTCTCCTGTTTTCAGCCTCCTCAGTGCTGGGATTACAGACATGCACCACCCTGCCCAGTCTTAGTAGCCAGCTCAGCATGCCCAGGGACAGGGCTAGTGCAGCATGTGGTGCCAGGGATTGAACCCAGGTTCTTGTGCTTGTCTAAGCAGGTGCTTAGTCCACTGAACTATCCTGTCGGCCCTGATTTTGTATTTCTGTTGTTTCTTACATGCATGTATTTTGTTGTCGTTGTTGAGATTTTTTTTTTATTTGTTCATTTTTTGAAACATAGTCTTGCTTTGTGGCTCTGGTTGGCCATAAACTATGTAGCCTAGCCTGGCCTTGAACTCGTGGCCATCCTCTTGTCTCAGCTTCCTGAGTGATAGGATTACAGGCCTGTGCTTCCATGTTGGCTTGTTGTCTCTTAATTTTGAACAGTTCCCTTACTTTTCTTCATGGCGCTAAATTTTTAAAGAATGACTTGTAAAATATCTAATACTTTCCTTGTTATTAAATTCTTGTTAGATATCTTGAGGAAGAAATGTAGGTGATACTGTGTAATTCTTACATCACACTAGGAGACATAATGTTAGGTTGCTCTACCTTGAGTGTTGCGAGATTGAACCACTTGGTTAGTGTGGTGACCACAATCTTTTCACTGTAAAAGTGCATTTTCCCCTTTGGTATATATCATCTGTGAGATGCTATCTAGATCTTTGCAAGTATTCTGTTCCCAAAACATTTTCATTCAATGGTTTCAGCATCCATTGATGAGCATACCCTTAGTCAAATACTGTCCCGAAAGTTAAAAATGGATTAACTGATTTTAATATTCTTATACTTTTTCAATGTACGTTTAAAAAATAGCCATAAGTCATTATAAAAGTATTTATTATTATGGTGACTTTTCATTTTCTGCTTAGCTTAAATTTGGTTCACTTTATTTTTTAATTTAATTAATTAATTAATTATTATTATTATTATTTTTTTGTGGAACCGGGGATTGAACTCAGGCCCTTGCGCTTGCCAGGTAAGCACTTATTCTACTGAGCCATCTCCCTGGCCCCTTTTAATTTAACTTAATTTTTTAAATGCATTTAGTATAGGGTCTACAGGGTCTCACTACGTAGGTTGGACTCTTGGTGATCCTCCCATTTTCAGCCTTCCCAGCATTTGGGTTACAGGTGTGCCCCACCACACCTGGACTTGGTGGCTCATTCAGTGTGCCTGGGGTTGGGGCTGGCATAGCATGTGGTGCCAGGGATCGAACCCTGGCCCCTGCACTTGCCTAAGTAGGCACACATAGTCTGCTGAGCTATCTTGCTGTCCCGCAAGTTTCTTCTTTGATAGTAAACTATGAATGAAAAAAACCTTACACATGCCAAAATTCATAGATTAGAGGGCCAGCCAGAGAGCTCAGCACACTAAAGTGCTTGCTTAGGAAGGCGCAAGGACCAGGGTTTGATCCCCGGCATGCTGTTCCAGCCCTGTCCCCGGGGCATACTGAGATCTTGAATGAGACTGAGCATAGTGGCACGCACCTGTAATCCCAGTGTCTGGGAGGCTGAAAACAGGAGGATCACTACAAGTCTAATCTGTATAATGAGATCCTGTACTAAATATATTAAAAAAGCATTAAAAATACAAAACAAAAAACTCCCCAAAATTCATAGATTACTTTGTGCATTTATCATCCTGTTAACAAATGTCTTAGTAATTAAGTAGTACATTAAGATCATAAGTCATCTCATCTTACAGGACTATTATTATTCAATTATTTAGAATATCATTTTTCTGTTGTGTCTTACGGGGCTGAGGCTATCCTATAGACAAAGAGTAGGTAAACACTATTTTTCCCCTCTAATCTGGTTTTAAATTTTTTATTAGAACAGAATTTGGGAATGGGGTCTTGGATTTGGGTAGCATCCAGTGCATTTGTATTTGATCAAACATATTGTTAAAGAATGAATTGATGGCATAAAATTTTACAGTACACATCCTCATTAAACTGAAACATAAAACTAATCCTTCCACAACAGTTTTAATATACATGGTGACCAGCACGTGTCAAATGTAATAGAGTGGACACAATAGTTAATAGCCCTTTTATCAAACTTTGACAAACACATTTAGTCTTCACTGACTGAGAAAATCAGTTTTTATTTTCTTCAAGGTCCTCTGTAAGACACTTGTGTGGGTGTTGAGTTAGCAGCATTTTAGTCTATTTTCCCTAACCGTATTTCCTCACACCACATTTCAAATTCTTGGGGCCGGCAAGATAGGCCAGCGGTCTAAAGCACCTGCTTAGGCAAACTTAGGCAAGTGCAGTTCAATCCAAGGTACTACATGCAGTGCCAGTCCTGCCCCCAGGGCAGGCTGAGCTGGCCACAAAAAATAAAAATAAAATAAAATAGAGCTGTGCAATTTAAAACAAAAACAAAAACAAAAACAGATTCTTGTCTTCCCTCAAAGTTATGATGGCTGTTTTTTCCCAAGCCTCTGTTTTTTTGGCTGATTCTTTGAAACAGATCTTTTAGTATCTCTTCTGGTTTTTTTTTCTTCCTCTCTGAAGAATCTGCACTCTCTTTCTTACAAAGGTCTTGCTAACAGCTTCCTTGTTTCAATTGAGATGATAAATCCATGAGACCTTTTTCCTTTATCCAAATTAACTTCAGTTACTGTTTCATTATCATTACCATTAGGTTTATCTTGAGAAATTGTTATTCCTGTTTTCTCATGTTTTACTACTTTTGCTGCTTCATTAGAGAAGTTGATGAGCTTTCACTTAACACACAGTTCCCATAGCTTTTAACTTTCTCCATCATGTGGTTGTAGCTGAAGTGCTGAAGAAAGCAATATGGACCTTTCTGAAAGATTATCTTAAGAATTTCCTTTCAAACTCTGTATGAGAATATGGGTTAGCAAATATTCTTTCAAAGACTTCTTCTGCTTCTTTAAAACTGCCTTGGTCTATACATCTGTAACTTGAATTTTAATTAAATTCTGCATGTCTGCAAGTGTAAGAATGGTTGAAAATTAAAAAAATGAAAACCTATCTGAAAGGCAATAAAAGAAGAAAATGAAAATAAAAGGAAATAGTTATCCATAGCCCTTAGCAGAGCTCAGATGAAAGGAAAGTGCAAATCAGAAGTAGGATACTTTTTAGAAGGGCCCTAATAGGTATTCCTTTGCTTTTTCTCTGCAACATTCTTCCACTCAGTCAAGATCCTCAATATTTCACAGGTGTCAGGTCGACCTTCAGGTTCCTTTGATAGTAATTTCCGTAGAAGGCTTTTCTGTAATCATAAGTAAATGTCAATAGTAAGAACTAAAACACTGGAATCAGTAATATTTGGATTATTTTGAAATACTTACTTCTTTACTATTAAACACATCATAGAAGATGCCTTTCCTTAGATCTCTGAAAAACTAAGAAATAAAACACAACATTAGGAAATCATTTACTTGAGAGGAAAATCAAACTTAGAACACATTAAAGGCTAAGGATATCCTAAGTCTAGGCTATTTCTAGATCTTTAGGAATGTCTTTTTAGCCAAGCACAAGCAGAAAATCATTACCACCACACTCAACCTAATACTCATTGCAATATTTGATAGTCTGAAGAGTTTTGTTTTTGTTTTTGTTTTCTTTTTTTTTGGCAGAACTGGGGATTGAACTCAGGCCCTTGTGCTTGCCAGGCAAGCACTTATTCTCTGAGCCATCTCCCCAGCCCCCAATCTGAAGAGTTAGGTACATGATATTCCTTATTTCCCTTCATCCTTCCTGGAGCCATATGAAATAGGTACTTCAGGTATCCCTTTTTATAGAGGCAAACATTGTTGACTTGGGCAAATCCCCTTCCTGAACTCCATACTAGCACATCAAGTTGCCACCTGCCTTTAGTAGTTACTCACTACCTTCATAAGAAAACCATATTTTTTCCTATTTAGCCCCAACCTATCTTTCTAGCTCTATTAATCATTACTTCCTTGTAACTTATATTCACAAATGGAAGCACATTGCCTGCTGTTTCCAAATATACTCTTCCTAGTCCCATCTTCCCACTGGCATTGCTTGCTTTCTATTTTTGGACTATTAGGAGCAACTTTCCCAGGGCCGGCGGTATAGCTCAGCCTATAGCGCTTGCTTAGGTAAGCACAGGGCTCAGGGTTTGATCCCTGGCTCCATATGCTGCACTGGCCCCGCCCTTGGGTGCGCTGAGCGAGTGTTGGAGTCCAGGCGTGGTGGCACACACCTGTAATCCCAGCACTAGGGAGGCAGAAATCAGGAGGATCACTACTAGTCTGGGATGTGTAGTGAGACCCTGCACAACCCCCTTCCCCCAACAAAAACAAAACAGAAACAACTTTCCCTGCAGAGCCTAATTGACTTGCTTTGGGGAAATCTGAATCCATAGCTGGAAAGATTGCTCTCCTAGATGTTTCCACAGACCTTATATATCTTTCTCCCAAAATACCTATAACATTGTTTTATTTTTGCTCTTAGAAAAATCAACTGTTCAACCAAGCTCAGTGATGTGTGCCTATAATCGCAGGATTCTGGGAGCTGAGATGAAGCAGATCACAAGCTTGAGCCCTGCCTGGATAACTTGGTAACTTATTGAGACCCTGTCTCAAAAAAAAAAGAAAATTAGGGAGGTTGTTCAGTGTGAAGGTCTTAGGTTCAATCACCAGTACCAGGAAAAAATGAAGTGTTCATCATCTCAACTCTTATAATACCTACTAGCACAGTGTCTTTGGCAAAGCAGGCAATGAATGAAATCTCGCCAACTGACTCAGAATAAAATTTATAAAATGTACACATATTCCAAGAAAATAAAAGTTATGCTCTATAAAAAATAGCTCTCAAAATTTGAAACAGAAAATTCTTATTTCACTTGCAATTAGTCACAAATACACTTGGTCTCACCCCCACACCTGGACAATAACTTCACACCAGGCAGACATACATGAAGATGTACTGTAAGACACATGATGATTGGTGTTGCTTGTTTTCTTTTATATTTACCTGTGCTGTTTCTTGGCAAGTCTTACATATGTAAATAAGTTCACCAAAAATTAGTCCCAGAGCATAAATGTCCACTTCTTTTCCATAATTTTCTGAATCTATCTGAAGAGATCAAAACATAATTGCCTTTGTTACTTATTTGATATAAATATTTATGCCTTATGAAACCACAAAATTTCCTGTCATACAAAGAATCTGTTTGTTTGCAGGGTTTATGGAGTCTGACAGGCCAGGTTCAAATATTTAGCACCAAATAGCAGACATTCTGGTATAAAATAACCACTAACATTGGAAAGAAGTCTTAATCATAAAGTGGGTTGAATAATACTATTGACCTCAGAGTTTGATTATACAATTACATGAAATGCAACAGGCAAAGTAATTAAAATATTGTCTAGAAAGTGACTTCTGTGACAATATTCATCACATATATATTTACAATATTCCATAGCTAGGAACAATCCAAATGTAACCATCAAAATGGAAAGATGTATTGTGGTATAGTCATATCATGAAATACTACTCAACCATAAAAAGGAATTAGCTGCTGACACGAGGAAACAACCAAAGGAAACTAAATACTTCTTTAACGTATTACAACTACATGTAATTTGTTGAAGAAATTGAATACAATTGAGTATGTAACCATGATTCCATTCATATGAAATTTAAGAACAGGAAAAACTGAAGTATGATGATAGAAATGAGACAACTAGTTGCTTCATGAAGTAGGGAGTAGGAACTGGCTGGAAAGGGTGTGAGAAAATATTTCTGAGATTAAAAAAAAAATTGTTCTAGGGCTGGTGAGATAGCTTAGCAGACTGAGTGCTGCTTAGGCAAGCACAGCGACCGGGTTCAATCCTTGGCACCATATGCTTTGCTGGCCCTGTCCCTTGGGTGCACTGAGCCATGGAGACCAGGCGTAGTAGTGCATGCCTGTAATCCCAATGCTGGGCAGGCTGAAAATAGGAGGATCACCATGTGTCTGAGCTGTGTAGAGAGACCCTGTAACAAATACATTTTTTAAAAAGAAAAAAAAAAATGTTCTGCTGATGCAGAATTCAGGACCAGATCAATCAGAAGACCACAACACCAGAGGAACTTTGGAAGGCAGCCTTATTAGGTGAGAGAGCTGGAGAACCCTGAGGTTCAAATCACGAGCCTCGTTTTGAGGTTACTAATCACTTATACCGGTTTTCAAAAGGAAGTACAAAAAAAGACAGATAACATTCCGTATTTGGTTACACAAGTCTTTGTCACGAATTGCTGGGTAGAATTTGCTCTTACTATCTTACAGTGTGGGGGAAGAAGTAGTCACTGTCTGAGACTGGGCAGGGGTGTCCCTCGGGCACTGGCTCTCTGGGACTTGAAAGTAAGCAACACACCACTGTCAGGCTAAGCTGCACAGATCTCGCAGCTGGCACCTGAGTGCCAAGGTTCGTGAAGTTTGTAGCTCTCCACTTACGAGAACCAGCTGTGCTTTCCAGTCTCATCCTTGAGTAGTGTTAAAAATTTACCAGTGGTAGGAATATAGGACTACGTAGGACAAGGGATACAGCTCAATGGCAAAGTGCTTGCCTGGCAAGCATGAGGCTGTGAGTTCAATTCCTGGTACCAAAAAAAAAAAAAAAAAGGAAAAAAATATAGGATTACAATTTTCATTACATTTAAAATAGGCCCTACACTACATGCTAACAGACTTGTAGCCTACACAAGAATGTACATCGCTCATAGCAAATACAGTTAAGATATGTGCATTTGGGGGGCACATAAATTATTCCTTAATAAAATGTATTTACATTTAAAAATCACCTAAGATCTGGGCAGGATGGCACACATTGTAATCCCATCACTCTAGTAAGCTGAGGCAGGACTGCTGAGCTTGAGGCCAGCCTGGGCTACACAGTCCAAGATGAGCCTAAATTACATATTGAGACTGTCTCAATCCCCCCTTCTCCAAAAGCCTAAGAAAAATAAAAGCATGATATTTAAAAAAACATTCTGAGGGTGATAACATAGGCTGCAGGAGCTGCTTAGCACAGTGGGAGGGAAGAAAGCCACTGGCTCCCCGTTGTGTCTTGTTTTCACACTGTACACACACACAACTTAAATTACATTTTTATGCCAAATCGTCTCCAAAGGGAAGCGGATTGCAGATTCTCAAGACATTAGATAGCGCAGTGCATCTGTTCTCAGGTAACAGACTACTGCAGGTATTTTGAAAGATAATTACCCAGAAAATCATCTTAAAAAGAGTACTTAAAATTCAAAACAAAAATTAAGATGAACAATCCAAAAGAGCAAATAGACAACCAAAATATCACCGTGAAAAGACGTGGTTGCTGGTATGGCGACTCTTCAGTTGGCAGCTGCTTTTCAGGGATGTACCCTGGGAGTGGCTAACCGTAGGCCTTAGCCTCTGTCCCAAGATCCAAACAAGTCCATCCCATTTGGGACAGGAGAGTGCAGCGTGATTGGCCTAGCACCAAGCTCTCTGCGATTAAGCCACAGTACTGTTAAGGACATAAAGCCAACCTCGATATTGACACGCACAGAAAACCGAGTAACAGTACCAACAGTGCCACCCTTGCAGTAGGAACAATAATACAGTCAAAGACAAACTAGATACTGACACACTATAAAAATCAATAATGGGGGGCCTCCCCATTAGCTCAGTTGTTTAAGAGACTGCTTAAGCAAAGGAGTCAGGCTCAGAATTCTCTGGTTCAACACCCAGATCCTCATGACTTTTTTTTTTTTTTTACAGTTTCATAAAGGTCTATTTCATTATTGGTGGGTAGCTCTTTTAACAGTTAAATACATTTAAATAATGTATAGGTGACTGCATGACTGCAGCATTGGTAACTAGATAACGAATTCAACTAGAAACCAACTAATAAGGTAACTGTCTAAATATTTAAAATACAGCTCTTGTTTAGATCCTCTGTTTGATCACCTTCTTAGGGGAAAATAAAAGCCTGCTGGTCAAAATGGAAATATATTAAGGCCAAATCTGATATCCACTGCCAGAGGTCTCTTTCAGCTGGATTAAGCCTCCAATTCGAGGGCAAGCCCAAGCTTGTGGCCTCCAGCATTAATGCTCTTCCCATCCACCAGGGCAGACAGTGTAAGCTTCACACCAGGCCTCAGAGTCTGAGTGTAACCCACTCCAATTAAACTAGAGTTGTTGACCTTTGCAGAAATGGAAGCAGTGGGATCCAACTGATATTTAGCTGCAATGCCAAAGCGAGTGCTGTTGGTACCTGATGTCCAAGCAAGGTTTACTGAAGTGTCAAGATCTTCACATACTTTCTGATATATTGAGCCTCCAAATTCTGTCCCATCATTGACATTAGTGTGTAGCTGGAAGTCCCCAGTCCTGTAGCCCACTGCAAAATTATTCCTTGTCAGCTTGGATTTGGCACTGTCAAAAGTCACCTGGTACCCAGCAAGCCATCCCTCATAACCAAAGACAGCAGACCCATGGATTGCAGGCCCGGCAAAATCAAAGTCAACATCACAACCAAGGTTTATACACTCCCTCTTGTAAGAGGACTTGATTTTACCACTTTTCTTTCCCGTGTTTGGTGAGAAGGTAGTATCAAATGTCAGTTTCAAACCTTGACAAATCTGATCTTCAATTGCGATTTCTGTTCCCAGAGTGTTATCAGTGTTCCACTTCTCTGTGAAAGTCAAGCCATACTCACACCATTTATATTTGGTCTCCAAGGTTCCAGTAACTTTACCAGTGTCTGTGTTAGATGAACCAGATGTTGAGAATTCCACACCACTGCATGACTTCGTTTTCACATCCAGTTTCACCAACCCAAAGCCAAATCCTTTGTTGAAAATATCTCTGGCAGCTTTGCCAAAGTCAGCATATGATGGGGGAATACACATCGGCCGCGCACAAGTCTGCCCGTAGGTCGCCATGGCGAGGTCGCTGGAGGAGGTGGCCTGGTGGTCTCCTGAGGGTGCCGCCGCCGCCGCTGCTCGGCTCACTCAGGCTCGGGCTGCGGCTGCAGCTCCTGGAGGGCGAAGTGAAGGAGACACCGTTCCGCCCGCCGCAACCCCGTCCTCCCCCAGCCCCCTCATGACTTTTGAGGACTGTGCTTAAGGCTTCCTGAGACGACAAAACAAAAAAATCTTTGGGGCCAGGGAGATGGCTCAGTAGAATAAGTGCTTCCCTGGCAAGCACAAGGGCCTGAGTTCAATACCTGGTTCTACCAAAAAAAAAAAAAAAAATTTTTTTTTTCTTTCTTTTTTCTTTTTCTTTTTTCCTTTTATGGTGCCAAAGACACAGACCAAGGCTCACACACACACACACACACACACACAAAAAAAAAAAAAAAAAAAAAAAAAAAAAATCATCAATAATGTACCAGCCCAAACCACAAAAAACAGAACTATAGTTATACTATAAATAAAAAAACAAACCAAATATAACATACAGTAAGTAATTACTGAATGCAACAACTATACCTCCACTAACAATAGAAAATATTTTAACAGTAGTAGCATACACTTAACTAAATATCTTAAGATTAATAAAATTCAATGATTATACCAGTAAAGATAGAGGGGGTCAGAAATGGGAGAATAAAGGGAGTAAAATCTGAAAAATAAGAAAAAGCTAGAGAGAAAAATTATTATTACTTTTTTATTTTTTGAGGAGAGAAAAATTAGATAAAGGATCCTATTAAGAGTGAAAGGAAGCTGGGTGTGGTGGTGCCCGCCAGTAATCTCAGCACTCAGGAGGCTGAGGCAGGAGGATCATTTGGAAATCAAGGCCAGCCCAGGATAGACAGTGAATTCAAGGCCATTCTCCACTATGAAGCAAGAGCCTGTCTCAAAAAACAAACAAAGTAAAAGGAGATAAAAGTAACAGAAGAAAATAAACAAGAAAAAAAAACCTGTTCAAAACAAAAAAGGAAAAAAAAAAATAATAAGGGGAAAAAAAACCAAACCAATGCAGAAAAAAATGACTCCAAAAATTCTTCTGTGTTTTTCATTGGCCAAGCAATGGCCGTGACTCATCCACGTGGCTGCACTGACAAAGGTTCTACAATCTGAGGTACGGGATCTCAGGATAAATCCTGAGGGCATTTCACTGACCTTCTCAGACCAAAAAGCTACAACTCTTGTTGCATAGGTCCTGCTTTACCTTGGTCTTAACCATCCAGTAGAAAAGTATGAAGACGAATTATAAGAAATAAAGCCATGTTGTTATGTTGAGCTGTGGGGGACTCAGGTCAATAATTTCTGACATTGCCAGTTAAACAGAAGACCCAATGCTATTGTGGGCTACTGGACTCTTTTAGAATATTTTGCTGAGTTTACACACCTATAATATTCAATAACGGAACTTAGAAAAAATGGGGTATACCGATGAATGTCCATTTTGTATCTGTGTATTCAAAGTGGTTGGGATAGATATATAGTTGCATTCTCTTAATGAATAGAATGATTTGTTCTAATGGTGTTTGTAAATAGGATCACAAGTCCACATCTTGTACAGCAATTAACCACTAAGAAGAATATATGCAGTGTGTTATTTGTTGAAACTGTACTTCCGAATGGACAGGCGCGCTGGGCAGGAGCGCGGCGCGGGCGGTGACGTCACCAGTAGCTGCCGCCGGAGAGGCGAGTGAGGCCTGGAGCTGCGCAGAGACTAGTGCCTTCGTCTGACCGCGGCGCGGCTAAGCGCCTTTGCGTTGTTTCTCTCCATGCTGCTTGGAAACAAGCATATTACTCGGGAGCTGACGCCAACGCTTTCGTCAGAGAGCGCGCCCTGAGGAAACTAAAGAAGGTCCAGTGTGTAAATCTCAGAGTTCCCACCAAGACATCCTTGCAGTTCTTGTGCTTCTGTCTGACATTGAGTGGGTGCTACAGCCATGTCTTCTCATAAGACCTTCAGGATCAAGCGATTCCTGGCCAAGAAGCAAAAGCAGAACCGTCCCATCCCTCAGTGGATTCGCATGAAGACTGGTAATAAAATTAGGTACAACTCCAAGAGGAGACACTAGAGGAGAACCAAGCTGGGACTGTAAGGAGCTCCCCAAGGGCTGCAGCACATTATGGTCTCCAGGGTCATAGAGCGATGCCCTCTTTGTCACGGTTCAGGACAGCACTGAGTGAAGTTTAAAAGACTTCACTTGCTGGACAGTAGGATGTACTTCATAAGGAATCTTAATCTTTTTCTGTGATCAGTGCTATTGAGTCAATAAATATTTGAAACCTCTAAAAAAAAAAAAAAAAGGAAACTGTACTTCCAATTTGATTTGAAACTGTCTCACTGCTCTCTGTGTATCAATAAAACTTTGAAAAAAAAATTCTTCTGTGTTTTTAAGTAGGGATTTATAGCCAAGGTCTGCAGTCAGGGGATCTGGCTGACACAGCGGAGGCACAGTGAGTCACCACTTGGAGCCACTGTGTTTTTACATCACAGTTTTGCGCAGGAATGTCAAATCCCACCCTGCTTGCCTACTGGGCATGGTCAGTCATTGGTACCTGTCCAATGGTGTAGTCTGTCCAGCAACTCCCGCTAGTTGTGTCCCTCTGAGATGCACCCCAAATCAGTTCTCTCCACCCAGCTTTATGACCCATGGATTTGTGAGGGGGCCCCTGCTCCAGAGGCCACTCTGTCCACATACTTCAGGCCGAGGCCACCATTCAAGTTGAGCCATGTCCTTGCTCACACCAGTAGACAGAGAAAGCGAAAGCAGACAGACCACTGAGTTCTGTGCTGGGCGCAGCTATGGGGGTAGGATTCAGACAGATCCCTGCCAGCGCTTTCAGAGCCAGCTGCCCGTGAAAGCCACACACAGCTGGCCTGGTGTCTCACCACCAGTGGAGGGGTCCCCACATCCTTCGCAGCAAGGAGTCCACGCCTAGCCCACGCCCTCTCTGAAACTGCCTCTTATGGCTGTCTCACTCAGTCACTGTGGTCATACCACAATTTAAAATATCATATATGACAATCCTACATACGCATGAATTCATGAGTTTCTTGACTCTGTTTCATTTAATTTTTAAGAAAACATTTCACTGTTTTAATAATTGAAGCCCTAAAAGATACATTTTATTATTTGAACAGCAGGACCTCCTTTTTCATTATTGTTTAATTTGAACGCATCATCAGAGGTAGCTGGGCACAGCGGCATGTGCTTAGAACTCCAACACTCTGGGAAGCTGAGACAGGAGAATCAAAACTTTGAACTCACCATAGGCAACTTAGTGACTTAGCAAAGCCCTGATGCAAAATTAAAAATTAAAAAAGAGCAAGGAGTGTAGCTAGTAAAGGCCCTGGGTTGAAGCCCTAGTACTGGAAAAAAGAAACCTAAAACGTCCACGAGGGTTTATATTTACAACTCCAAATGACCTCTAGAATGAACTTGCCACGCTCCATAGCAGGTCTTGAGGCTCTGATAACTTTGCATTGAATTTAAGGATTCAATTAAGGAGAATAGGGGCTGGTGAGATGGCTCAGTGGTCTAGAGCACCTGCTTGGAACGGGCTTGGCAGGGCACAGGGACCGCGGTTCAATCCCCCAGCGCCACGTGCCGGCCAGCCCGCCCCCTGGTGGGCTGGGCTGGCCACACACACATACACAAATAAATAAAATTAAAAAAAAAAAAATTAAGGAGAATGGACACCCTCACTCTGAGGATGGTGCATAACCGAGAGCAAACCTCAGGCAAGAAACCCCCACGAACAACAGAAACATAAAAAGACAAGGCAACACGATAATTCCCCAAACTCTCAACTGCTTTTTTATTTTCAAAAATGCATTTACATATAGTGACATCAAGAGACTGTCTAAGCTGGAGTTCCCTGGACTGGAGAGATGGCTCAGTGGCATAAGTGCCTGCCTAGCAAGCACAAAGACCCAAGTTCGGTCCCTGGTACTGCATGCCATGCCAGCCTAGGAACTCCAGGCACGCTGTGTCGGCTCCAAAACTGGGCATGGTGGCCCACGCCTGTAATCCCAGTGCTGGGTAGACTGAGACAGGTGCATCACTCTCAATCTGAGCTGCGTGGTGAGACCGTATATCAAAAATAAATATAAATAAATAGAATGGAGTTCACTAAACTGTCCCTGGCAATGAGCTGCTAAACCCATTTCTGTTTTTGTTTCAGAGAATTTTTTGACTTGTGCTATTACAGAAGGGTTCCAAGCAGAGGAAATGAAGAACAACCATAAGTGCTGAGGTGAGGAATATGTTCTTTAGTTTGAGCATGGTAATTCTGCAATGTACATGTGTCTCGAAAGAAGATGGCAAATACAAAAACAGTAGGGTTGTTGATCACCTTAAATATGGATGATTTTGTGTGTCAATTACGCTCAGTTAAAAAAGTGAACAAATTAAAGAAGCAGAAAGAAAGAAAGGAATGGAAAGGAAAGACACTCACCTGTTCTGGGCTCATGTATCTCTCCGTTCCCCTCTCTCTTGTTCGCTTTTCGTCACTTTTCAGGGATGTTGCAAGTCCAAAGTCACCAATCTTAATATGTTTTTCATCTACTAAAAATATGTTAGCTGGCTGTAGGGAAAAACAATAATTTATATATACCAGCCTGGCAGACCGTTACCACAGCATCTCAGCTAAGGTTGTTATATGTACTTGGACAACATTTACCCTGTTACACGTAGCTCAAATCAGTTGAATAGCACAGGTCTTTAAAATGCATTGAAGGACTTTAAAGTTGACAACAGAGGTCATTTGGTTTGGTAGGGGGCTGACTCCAGCACCCTTAAAATGCCTTCAAACTTTGATTCTCTGAATGGGTTCATTCCTAACAATGCTGCCGAACATCCCGGGCAGAAATGGCCCAGGAGCCTTCCTTTATGTCCCTCTCTCCAGGCCTCTAGCAACTTCCTTATAAACGTATCTCACCCACCTCGAAAGTGCTAAATTAAAGGGAAACTGATAGCTAGCACAAAGATTTTTCCATGCAATTCTTTTGTAAAGCTCAAATAATTTTAAGATCACATATAGAAATAAATAGATAAAATGTGTTTCAATTAAAAGGACCCACTCACTGGTTTACGGCCCTACAGCTTGAGCAATCCATGTTCCTACAACAAAGAGGACATAAGAAAACCTTGGATGGGGTCCCGTTACTTGGAAAACAACTAAAACAACTGAGTCAGCCAAGAAGTTGCCCTTGGCCCTCCCCTTGTTTAAATTCTTGCAAGAGACATACATTCCCAAACCCAAGGCTCACTATTGAAAGCCATAACGACAGGATGTCCCAGGTCACAATGCCTCGATTTCTTAAAAATGTTCCCGGAACACGACAACCACAAGGTTAGTCCCCCCAGCTACCCCTGGACTTACTCCATTTGGTCATCCGGTATTGTAATCCACCAATTATTGTAAATGGCAACCTACACTAACCAATGCGATCTGCTTCTGTAACTTGCTTGCTCCCCCCCCCCCATTTTGTGGTTTTTGCCTTTAAAAAACTATGCCTGTTACACGGAAGGCGCGCTCTGCTCCTGCGTGTGCAGACCGCCCTACGTATACGTAGATAATAAAACTTCCCCTTTGCGATTTGCATGAGAGACCGACTCTTGGGGTCTTCCTTCGCGGCGACTCGACCCTTACACTTTAAGCAAATTTTAAAGAGAAAAAGTAAAAAATGAATAAAGGGTGATCACTACTCTTGTACAGCTTTTTAGAAGGTATTGATTTTATTTTATTTATTTATTTATTTATTTATTTATTTATTTTTGCGGAACCAGGGATTGAACTCAGGCCCTTGCACTTGCCAAGGAAGCGCTTATTCCACTGAGCCATCTCCCCGGCCCCAGAAGGTATTGATTTTAGTATTATAAAAAATAATACAAGGGGCCTGGCCCTAGCTCAGTTCTTTAAGTGGCTGCTTCGGCAAAGCTTTCAGCCTCAAGTTGCTGTAGTTCGATCCCCACAACACTCCAGCCAGCCAAACCACCCCTGAGGGCATTCGGAGCAAAATAATAATAATAATAATAATAATAATAATAATAATACTAAGGGTTGTAGCTAGGGTTGCAGCTCAGCTGTAGAGCCTTTGCCACTATGCTCCTAGGTTCAACACAATGCCCAGCAACATCCCTATCCACTCATAAAACAAACAAACAAACAAACAACAACAACAAAAAACAAAGAGTAGCAAAAAAAGAGAAACCCTAAAAAGAGGAAAGTTATTGAGGCAGAAAGTAATATCTCGCCACTCTTGCAAAGGCTGAACTTTTAACACAGTCTCTACAAACACAAATCCTGAGGGCAACAATTTCAAGACAGCTTGTAAAGGAACAGAAGGAAGTGACCAAAGCCCAGGGTAACTTGAAGCAAGTTTCTCAGAATCTAGCCTGAGAAGCCCTGTGCAGAAACCAGGAATAGGATTAGAACTTAACTAATGTCTTGGAACCTGATACAGACTCAAGGCTGCACAGGTTTGTGTGGTGAGTGTGCAGAGAAAATGTTCCTGTGCTACAACCAAGTTGTACAGAAATATGCCGGTTTACAGGGGAAACCGCCACCCACATCAGGTTCTACCCGACTCTGAGAAACGGAAAGTTGAATTTATGATGCTGTCTGAATATCTAAGGTGGATAACACTAGTAAAAGTATCAGGCTGCTTTTTATAGTTCATTAGAAAGAAAAAAGATGGCACGTTTTGTTTGCTACAGGATGGCTGGAGAAAATGTAAGATTGCAGAGCATGAGAAAAGCGTGTGGACGCTGTATCGGGGCACAAAAACATGGTCGGTGCTCAGGGCGAGGCCAACCAAGGAGGCTGGCCTGGTAGGAGACGCCTTCTACCAGTAAGCAGCTTCGGAGAGCGAGGCCGCACTCCACAAGTCCCTGTGACTCTCACCAGAGCCTTGGGTCCCCTTCTTTTTTTTTTTTTTTTTTTTTTTTTTTGCGGAACCGGGGATTGAACTCAGGTCCTTGCGCTTGCCAGGGAAGCGCTTATTCCACTGAGCCATATCCCCGGCCCTATCCCCTTCTTAAGCTCCCAATAGCAAGCAGTAAACACTTTGTATATGAGAGGCTCATTGGCAAAGGTGCCTACAAGCTGCAATTTTCAAAGCATAACCAAAATGATGCTCACCTTCGCTAGCATCCTGTTCTGGAGGACAGAAACCACACTGTAACAGAGAATGCTTAGAAAAGTTGTAGCTGAAAGAAGAGTCAGTGTTGAAGTCTGACCTCAGAGTAGCGGCAGTCAGACAAAACTTCAGATACAAGATCTCATTGTGACACAGGATACCATCAGTGCAGGATGCTGAGAACTGGCAAACGTGAGGAGGGCCCAGCCAGAGCTGCACTCATCCATTTGGAGGCGGCAATGCCCAAGCTTCTGTATTTATTTGCAAATGAATAGCTGTATAAATAACTGTGATTAATTGCTTAGATCTAATATTCATGATTTGTTCCAAAGTGAAGATTTAATCAATCCAGTAAATTTATTTTGCGGAACAAGTCCTAATGTTGGAAGTACCAAGGATACTTTCAGATATTGTTCAGGAGAACTATTAGAACCTGGAGGACTCAAACATCAAGGTATTAATTAAGGCATCTGGCGCCAGGGAAGCCCACAGAAGCAGGACCTTGTAAGCACTACCTAAAAAAGTGATCTGGAAAGACTAAGCAAAGGAAATGGGGACCAGAGGACCCAGGCAGAGGGTCCTGGGGAGGACAGATGCAAGGGCCCGGGGGAGGGGTCAGCATGGCTAGCTTGTGAGGAAGGGAACCCGCAGCAGAAGGATATAAAGGAGACTGTGCCAAGCTAGTCTCTGTGTCTTTTCTTTGCTTCCAATGACAAGGCCAACTGCATGTCTAGACTAAGAAAACCAAAAGAAGTTGGAAAATACAAAGTGTGCTATAGGCTCCAAAGTTTGAATTGCTGCAGTTTTCCAATTATAGGGCTGAAGGGCCAACCAGGAAAAAAAAAAAAATTCTAGACTCTGGACCCAGTAGCTGTGATCACCTTCAGGATAACTAGACTAGGGAGACACATCCTCAGTGCCACAGTAGAACCATGCCGGGCAGCAAGCAGACAAGGGACAGGGCAGCCCTGACTGCCAGCTGCAGTAATCCTCCAACAGAAATGTTCCCTATGTATAGGATTTTTTTTTTTCCGGTACTGAGGATTGAACTCAGGACCTTGAGCTTGCCAGGCAAGTGCTTATTCTGCTGAGCTATCTTCCCACCCCACCCCCAAAGTAAAGGTTTTTTTTTTTTTTTTTTTTTTTTTGTGGTACTGGGGATAGAACACAGGACTTGAACTTGCCAGGCAAGCACTTATTCTACTGAGCTATCTCCCTATGTATAAAAGCTGTTAGTATTTACAGATTGTGGCAGCCAGCACATGAATAAGCATTCTAGTAGGGCTTGGCATAGCAATAAGGTCATTGCAGGTAGAGTAAACCAAACTACATATATTGCAGGTTAATAATTAGCTTCTCTTCTGAGGGTTTAACAACCTAAATTAGCAGATCAAAATTGGAGAAAAGGAAGGGCTGCAAGGTCAGCCAACGTTTTGGCCCTAGCCTTTCAAGGTCAGTGAAGATTCGGGACATAGGAGAACCTGTACTGTAACAACATGTAACTCAGGTGTGCTCCAAATTTTCTGATCAAGATGATTATGGAGCCACAGAGCAATGTGATCGATAATGTATAGTGTGCCTGGGGAGAGTCACATGGAGAGAAAAAACATTTTCTCAAGCTTTCACAAAGAGCAAATTGGTCAAGCAATGGCAGTGACTCATCCTCATGTCGGACACTGACAAAAGGATGTACAAAGGGCAGTACAGGGCTACAGGATAAATCCTGAGAGTACTTGGCTGACCTTATCAGATACAAAAGTTACATTTCTGGGTATATAGGTCTTGCTATATCTTGGTCTTAACCATCCAGCAGAAAAGTATAAAAACAAGGTATATAAAGTAAATCCATATTAATATGATGAGCTGTAAAAGGCTCAAGTCAATAACTTCTGAGGATAACCCACTAATATTATAGACCACTAGACAGTGTTAGATTTAGTTGAATTCAAACACCTATAGTATTTAGATGCCAATAGAATATTCACCTCTGACAGGACAAAACAAAACAAAACAAAACAATAAGGTCCTTGCCCCAGCTCCCCCTTCCAGGTCTTCTGAGCAGTGGTATGGAATAGGGTTTGGGCCAAGTTCTAGGCCTAATCTAATATCCGAAGGCCTATTTCTCCATGACTACTGATAAATCACAATTCTAAAACCAGAGAAGGGGCTGGTGAGATGGCTCAGTGGTCTAAAGCACCTACTTAGAACAAGTTTAGCAAAGCACAGGGACCGTGGTTCAATCCCCCAGCACCACATGCCAATCAGCGCCACCCCCTGGTAGGCTGAGCTGCCCCCACACACACACACAAATAAAAAATTAAAAAAAAAAATAAAACCAGAGAAGATCAATTTTTAAATCACTAAATTGTATTTAGCAACTAATAAAGAAAAATTTCCACTTACCTTAAGGTCTCTATGAATGATGTCTTTTGAGTGTATATAATCTACTCCTCTTGTTATTTGCTCAAAAAATTCCAAAGCCAAAGCTTTGTCCAAGTTTTCTCCTCTTCTTTGTTCAATCCACTGCTCCAACGTCCCTTTATCACAAAATTCCATGGAGATGAAAAGGCATGTGCACCTGAGTCTGAATAAAAATTTCGCAGTATGTTAAAAGTAACAATAAAAATTTTTTTAAAAAACACAAGAGCAAAATAGAACAGAGATAATTCCGAAATATGGACAAGTTCAAACACTATTGTTTCAAAACTATTTTAATATATATGCTCATTAATTTCATTTACCTAGTTTATCTTAGTTCATTAAAAAAAGTGGTTTTTTTGAATTTTAAATTTATTTATTTATTTATTTATGTGTGTGTGTGTGTGTGTGTGTGTGTGTGTGTGTGTGGCCAGCTCAGCCCACCAGGGGGCGGGGCTAGCTGGCATGTGGTGCTGGGGGATTGAACCATGGTCCCTGGGCTTTGCTAAGCTTGTTCTAAGCAGGTGCTTTAGACCACAGAGCCATCTCACCAGCCCCATGAAAAAAAGTTTTGTTTCTTCAGTTTGTTTCTTTTTTTGCAAGAAGCTTTGAGGTTTATGTCTTGTACTCTGGGTAACTACTGAGTTACTAACAATAACTATTGTTATTGAAGATAACAATACACCATGCATTAAATGCTGTTAGTCTCTTATTTTGTTATCAAATTTTGTTTTTCATAAACTATAAAAGAAAAGAAAAATTAAAAAGTACATCTTGTCACCTTGTGAACCCCAAAACATGTCTCCAAACGAAACTGAATATAATTTGAATCAGCATATAATAAACCTTTTTTATTTAAATCATACCAGATTCATAGTGATCCTCCTGCTTTCAGCCTTTTAAACGGTGAGATTACAGGTGAGCACAACCACACCCAGTCTCAGCGTGCAATGGGGGCAGGGCCAGCATGCTGGGGATTTTCTTTCTTTGGTCACAGGGAGATAACTCAGGGCCTGCTGAGTTACCTACCCAGGTTTTCCCTCCCTCCATTCTTTCCTTTATTGGTTCATTCCTTCCTTCACTCTCCTCCAACCCCCTTCATTTCCCTTCTCTTCCTTCCCTTTCTTTCTCAGGTTGCCCAGATTGGGCTTGCAATTGCAATCCTTCTGCCTCAGCCTCCAGCCTGTCATCCCAGGCTGTGCCACTTCATTTAGTTTCTGTCCATTCCTTAGTGCTGCAGATACTTGATCACAAGAGATCATACTTTTTTGTATTAACTACAGGAAACATCATTGCATTATGATATCAAGTCATTTTGAGACTTCAATTCACCATTGATCAACTGAGTACCTATTTTGCAAAAGGCACAGAACAGACACCTAGATATGAGGAAATGATCTAGGCCCTCTCCTTGACTCCATAAGGATTATAATTTAATACAACTAGGGGAGGAAAAAACAAGTCTAACATGACAATCAGGACAGGAGCTCCAAGAGAAGTGGCCACCAATTGCATTCTGTGAGTTCTGTTCAAGGAAAGATAACATTAGCCATGTTTTATATTTCCTTCTGAACTAAGTAGGCCTTCATATTAATTTTTCATATAATTCATATTAATTTTTCCTCTAAACATATAAGGGCTAGAAAATAGAGAGGTAGCCAAGAATCTGCTTAAAGCTGAACAAGTTTTGTATATGTGCAGTCCATAACTCCTAACCAAAGTTCTCAAGTACACAAGGTGGAGATGCGGCTGGGTGCAGAAGATGGTGAAGAAAGAGATCCCCAAGGCGTCAAGATTTCAGCTGAAACACTGACCCCAAGAAAGGCTTGGTGACTTTCAAAGGACTAGAATTTCTAGTCCTTCAGCAGTGCTTTAACAGAAAAAAAAAAAAAAAATGAGTGCTAGAAGCAGGGGGTCCCCATGGCTGCTCATGTCCTTAACATTATTTCCTTGCCGACCACTTCTCCCTGAGCATGGACCTGCATCCCAAGGCCACCCTCTGACTGTCCCACATCAGTGAGGGGCCTCTGAGGACGTAGTGTGGGCAGCCACGGAGGGACGCTTTGGACATAGCACCTACGTTAAAACTTTCTTCACAAGGCCCATCTACAGCTTTTACAGAAGCAAGGGCATGTGAGCAGACAAAGCCGCTAAATAATTGAGTTAGAAAGCAGGACTGAGCTTTGAAAACAGCAAAGGACAAAAAAAAAAAAAAGGCACTTAATTGGCTGGGTGTGGTGGCAGTGACTATAATCCCAGCTCTCAGGAGGCTGAAGCAGGAGGATCACCAGTAGTAGGCTAGCCTGGGCTACATAAGTGAGTTTAAGGCCAGCCTGAACTACAAAGCTAGACTCTGTCTCAAAAATAAATAAATAAAAATAAAATTAAAAAGTTAAGTTTAGGGTCAGGGAGATAGCCCAGCAGTCTAATTCTCTGCCTGACAAGAGCAAGGACCTGGGGTTCGATCCTTGGTAACACATGCCATGCTGGCCCCACCCCAGGAGTGTGGAGGAGCCGGCCCCTGAAACCAAGCATGGGGAGGCTGAAACAGGAGGATCACTACGAATCCAAGCTGCATAGAGAGACCTTGTACCAAATACATAAATTAATAATGATAATATAATAATAAGTTTGAAAGAGGGAAAGGAATATGGGAAAGATTTTTCAGCCTTCTTCCCAGAATGAAAGAGTGAAAGACAGCAGAGCCTCTCAGAGGTGGCTGGGATTTAAATGGGATGAGTAACGGCCTCAGTTAGGGGTGCACACGGAGGAAATGACAGCTTCCTTACGTCCTAGTACAGCTCTGAGACCGTCTTTTTACCTACCGTGAATTAATATTTCTGCTGCACTCAGGATCATAATCCTCTCCGTACCAACAAACACGGTATTGAACAATATTGGGGTGTGTAAAGGCTGCCAGCGCTTGTACTTCACGCAATTCCTTCCTGTTGTCAAGAAGCAACAACATGGGCGTGTCAGTATCTATCTCCAATGGCTACCAAATGCCTAAGCAACACGAGACAATCGTCCATATGCCCTTATAAAACAGTCACTGCGGTGCCCACACCAAGATTTATAATAATTCTTTTTCTTTCTTTTT